ACTGGGGGGCACGAGCCTACCTGAATACAAAAAAAAAGGAAGAAGCCATCCTATGATATGCCTTCGCTAAAGTTGTATAACCTCATCGCAGACCGAACACGCTTAACACTGCACCATGGGGCTCCTCTTCATCATCACCAGCCTATTAAAGTCAAAGTGTAACAAAATTATAATAAACAGATAAGAATATTGTAATTAAAACAAAATAAGAAAAAGATAAATGTAAAACACATAAAGGAAGATAAAACTAACTACGAGGGTCAAACTGAAAGTTCTTAGAAAATCAAAAACTGATTACATTAGCCAGTTATTAGTTTTATTATATCTTTTCAAAATATTGTCCATTCACGTCAATACACCGCTGCATGCGATGGAACCACTGGGAAAAGCACTTTGCCCACTCGTCCTTAGGGGTCTCTTCAATGGCATCGCGATACGCAGCCACCGCTTCTTCAGCATTCATAAACCGCTTTCCTTTAAGTTTTTCTTTAATTTTTGGAAATAAATAAAAATCACAAGGCGCGAGGTCGGGGCTATACGGCGGGTGACCCAGTAATTCAACGTTTGATGTCGCCAAATAGTCGATCGTTCGCTTGGCGGTGTGCGACGAGGCGTTGTCGTGGTGAAGGAGGATCCTACTGCGAGGTCGTTTCTCTCGAACTTTTTCCAAGACAAGTGGCAAACAATTGGTAGTGTACCATTCTGCAGAAACTGTTTTTTGATCCTCTAACACAATTGTTGCAAAATGCCCTATCCTTCCAAAGAACGAGGCCACCATTTTTTTTCCCGCACTTCGATCTCTCTTCACTTTAGTTGGCAACTCCTCGAAAGGAAACACCCACTGAGCAGATTGTCTTTTGGTTTTAGGATCATAACAGTAAATCCAGCTTTCGTCACCTGTTAGTATGTCGAACACAGCATTTGAGTCACCTCCGTTAAATCTTTCAATCATTTTACGACACCAATCCACACGATGGAGTTTTTGAGCCTCAGTCAAATTATGAGGTATCCACCGGGCGCAAAGCTTCCTGACCGCTAAATGTTCGTGGAGGATTTTGTGCACTTGACTCATACCGATGCCTAAGCTTGTCCGAATCTGTTGATAGGTCACTCTTTTGTCAGTCTCTATCATACGCCGCACAACACAGATGTTATCTTCAGTCGTCGCCGTAGAAGGCCGTCCCTCACGTAAATCATCAGTGAGATTAGTGCGACCACGTTTAAACTCATTAAACCAGTTGTAAACAGTCGCACGAGATGGGGCTTCATCGTGAAAGGCCAATCGTAGTCTATCATAACTTTCTTGTTGACTTAAATGACATCGAAAGTCATAAAAAATCATTGCACGAAAATTTTCTCGTGTTAAATTCATGATGACGTGACACAGACAATTTTCAATTTGCCGCCAAATCGTAAAACAAATGACAAATGAATGAAATATATACTCAGTAATATTGGCAAAGAGTTATATTTTCATATTTTAGAATTATTTTTTTATTATATTGTTTATAAGTGGCCAGTTCTAAGAACTTTCAGTTTGACCCTCGTATAAACAAAAACATAAAATAAAAATTAGAATAAAAATAGCATAAGAAACAATAAAATGTAAAACAAAATATGTAAACAGAAACAAAAGTAACAATAAAAAATAGGTGTCCACTCATTAATAAGAAAATAGAATTAAGAATAAAAGTAGCTAGGAATTAGGATAGATGTGACAGTCCCCGTCACTCGAGGAATGAAAGAGAATGGAATGACAGAAAGATCAGGAATGAAGAATGAGAGAATTACTAAAATCGAGAACAGGAATGAAAGATAACATAGAATACCAAAGGCCTGCTACAAAGTGGGGTGCAGCTAGGAGCTCGACCAATATTGTAAGGCCGAGCATTTATAAAAAAAAAGCCTATTAAAGTCCCCACTGCTCAAGCTCAGTCCTTTTTTGTTGATGGAATCGAATCAAATCGAATAGGGAGAACGGGCCACGACGGGCCAGTGTGTATTATTGGTGGTGCTAAAGACTGCAGATACAGCCGAGACCAACGGCTTAACGTGCCTTACGAAGCACGGAGAGATAATAAAGTTTTGATCACCCATCCCATAACCGACCCTTGCGAAAGTTGCTTAACAACCGTATCGCAAATAGAGCGCGCTAGCCACTGCGCCATCAAGCTCCTCTTAAAACGACAATATACCTAAGTATGATATTCTTCTTTCAAAAATTCAATTATTGTTCTTATGCTTAAGACAAAATCGCGGGAAACGGTTAGTTCGTAATATAGAGCATAGGTATTGTACGTTGTTATTTTTTTTTTTATTGTATAAATATGGTGATGATTCTACGAAAAAGTTTACATAATCTTGTCGTTCTCACTTCTTTCCTAATAAAATAAACAAAACCTCTTTGTGTATTTCTAAGTTCAATACGTTTGTGTTTTTATCAGCCTACTGAATACATTTGTTGTTCTACGCCTAAACGTTTTGATTTGAGTAACAACATTATTCATGGCGTTACGTCATCAATACAATAATTAATTAAAAATACAATGCACCATTATATAATTTAATTTATTATTGTCTTTTATCGATTTGACTCCACCGTTTAATAAAGTTGTCGACCCCCAAATAGCTGGAACATTTGATAGTATTTCGAATTGTGTTAGCACAGAACGTCTTTCTGTATTCTGTGGTTTTTATCATTTAAGCATAGGGTAAAAAAGGTAGTTTATGACACTGTCTTAGATAATGACACTATTGTAATTAAAGTAATTAGATATAGTTCCTATCATAACTAATTTGTTAATCACTTTCCATTATATTGTATCAATAAATAAACATTATAATCTTGTGTACATTAAATTAAATTTTATAAAAAGACTGGTTTGCTTTCGCCGAAAGACGGGAGAACCATCATAAACCCCGCTTTCCAATGATTCCACAACAACGTCCCCAGGGCCGGACATCTGGACGCCAACAACAATTCCAAAAAAAACTTATAACTATAAAACCTTTTTGTATGGAATCTTTTGTTCACTTTTTTAAGTATTTTGTACAAAACATTATCTTTTATTGCCGTCTCTTGCCATCAAATTACTAATTTTATTCCGTGGACAGTCAGATTTAGAATCAGAATAATACCTGCAATGAATATAGAAAACTCACCGAATATGGAATATGATCAATAAGCGAAAATAGTATATTGTCAATGAGTCTAGGAAATTCGCGATTGATTTACGGATTCGCTTGGCTTATTTCAAAGTGCAAATTTCTATCAAGAATAATTGAGATAGCAATTTATTTATTATTCCATTTTACTACAGTAGAATCCGTTTAATATGACACCGAATATAGTGAGCAACCGCCTATTATGACGTAAATACACAACGAAGATTGGTTTTCATATAAAATCTTGAAAAAAAAAGTCGGGTATAATGACTTTGCTTATAGTGACATGACGGTTATTATGACCCATTTTTAATAAATTATTTCCGGTTATAATGACCGACATGACTTTACGCTTCCGATAATGTTCGGTGATCTCCAGCGACGTTCGACACGTGGCTAACTTGACAGTGATGGTGACGAGGAAGTCGAGGAAGAACCATTACCTACCGCAGAAGTGGCATTAAAGGCTGCGGAATTATTATCACGCCTTGTTCATAGCAATATTGAAAATGATAATTTGACCATGGCAATGTCTTCTTTAAACAATACTATTATTAAAATAAAAAAAACAATAGTAGGCAAAAATTACAGATTTCTTTATTAAAAAATGAAAAATACATATATTACATACTTAAATGTATTGTTTATATTTTTTACTTGTATTTTTTTTATGCTCTATTAAAAATATTAAAAATTCATTACATGTCAATTCCCTTCGATATCATTATATTCGGATTCCACTGTATATTATAAGGAAAGAGTTCCAAACAAAATGATGTTAAACGAACTCTTATCTCTCCCTCACTCACAGCTCATTATGTTTTGACTTCACCAACAAAAAATCTAAACTTATAAAGGCACACATTTACAAAAACGTTTTTTCAACGTCGTTCTAGTTACACTTGGCCCTTATGAAACTAGCTGAAGCGCAGAAAAACTTCCAAAGTGGCCTCAGTGAGGTGCCTGAACCAATTGTACTAAATGGTTAGAAGTTTATCACATGCATGTCATAAACATGTCGAAGTCTCAAGGGTTTGAAAGCGCAAACCCTTTTTTTATATAAGTATAAAAAAAAGCTTCATTGTTTTTTGTGTTCAGAAAAGTAACATTGTGGGCACGGTAAAACAAAAAGAGACTACTATTACATACATACTATTTGAGGAGCTCGATGGATGGCGTTGTGGTTAGCGCTCTAATCTACCAGGAAACCCAACCAGGAAACGAAACCGGGCAGGGAACCTTGAAACTGATGTGCGAGCCATTCGGCCACGAATCGATGATGATAATAATAATTATAAATGGAAAAATAAGAAGCTTCAAATCCTTATTCCATATAGATATTTATTTCAGAGGCTTAATATTGTAACTGTTATGTACGCACCCAATTAATGCCCTTATTTAGAAATGGTCTACGTGATCTGTCACAAGTACATATTCGCAACTAAGTACTATAGTTATGTTTTTTTAATTGACCCGAAGGTTATCTGCAATTAACTAAAATTCCTAAAAATTCTTATCAATATTTGCGAATGCGACTGGTGACATCAAAGTAGTCCCTTATCATAGGACCAATAAGTCAATCCTAATTTATTTGTTGTTTTTTTACAAATTTCGGGATATACGAGTATAAACCCCTAGCTTTTGTAGCAAGATACATTAGAATTAGATCAGTCATAGTACTGTTCAGTCGTCTTTCATATCACGTCATCTTCATATCTGCAATATATAGGAACATAAAAGTAACGAAAACAAAAATGTAAAAAAAAAACTGTTTCTTTTTATTTTAAAATATATGTATAATATTAAACAACACAAAATTCATTGTCATAATAGACTTATAGTGACACTAGAGTCGAGTGGATGTAGCGTGAGGGGCGACCGCGGGTCTGCCTCGAACGGAGCTGTCCGGGTTTCTCGTCCCGGCGCGGGACCGAACTGCACGTGGGGGAGTAATGTGGCGAGACAACACTTCATCTGGATTATGGCGAAACGCTTACCTGTTAAATAAATAACAACAATCTCGATCAACAACAAAAATACGAAAAACTAGCTGTTTTCTCATGTCCTCGCCTGCGTATAATGTAGCTTCTCGAATATGAAAGAATTTTTAAAATCGGTCCTATGTTTTCGGAGCTCTTTCGATGCAAACAAACAATCAAATCTTTCCTCTTTATAATACATGTTTACTAAAATTATAGAGAGGATTAATATTGTATAGATACTTTTTTCAAAAATTTTAACGCTACGTTTTTCCCTATTGGCTATAGGGAAAAAGTAGCGTTAAAATTATGAACTCTTATCCTAAAGTCATAACATAACTCTTTGTAGACTTTAGACTAGCAATAAATTATTATAAGTATTGTGTTACAATATCCAACCTACAGTCTTGCTTTAAGAATTATAACAATACATCATATAAATGCAAGAGGACTACATCAGCGGTATTTGTAAGACGATATTCCTGATGATTGTACAGAAGTAATACCTACCTACTTACATACTTTGCACAACAACTATGTACTTGAAAACACTACAGTTTATCGATAGGTACAGTCAGCACGGCAGGTTGTACAAATTTGTTTTTCTCCACTTGATTTTAAAATTTACACGGGATTACTCCGTGATCATGGCACTAGTAACAGTGCTGAAATATCACGAGCTCGATGTATATAAGGTACATGGTAGCAACACTGTAAAAACAATCTTTCTAATCTTAATGCTTTGTTATTAGAATTTAAATTCAACCGTTGAAATTTGTCATATTATGGTAACCGAACCTGTAGCCATGTCTTTACACAGGTCAGGTTACCATATTTAACTGTTACGGTTACTGTGTACTGTGAACTGTGCTGTTGTACTGTGTGCACACTGGCCTGCTATACTGGAGTCTTAAAAAATTTGCCAATGAGCATCCACATTTATATCACCATTATTAGTTTATCAAAGTCCCCACTGCTGGAGCATAGGCCTGCCCAATGGATGGACCAAATTATGGAAAATCTATCGGTGTTTTTGTGGATAACGCGCATGTCCTACATAGAATAGTCCAGTTGCTCTTCTTTCTATTTTAGTGCGCAGTAGAACCGACACACTTTGCAAAAAATACAAACATATGTTTTCATTGTCCTTTTATTGGAGTCGTTTAATAATTACATTACTAAATATGTCATTTTGTCAATCTTATTCTGGACTTTCACATAAAGGCTTTCATTTTAAGAGCTAAAAACAGCCTACGACCAGCTTGTTCTTGCTTTCTTAATTCATTTGCAGAGGTTTTAGTGCGTGACGCCACATTCAATTCTGTCAACGGATATTCTGCTATCGCTTCAATTAGTAGGTATCGAACAATTAATTAATTACTTAAATTTGATACTTGGAATTGTAGTTGCTATTTTAGATAAAACATATTTCAACCGTTAGTTCCATTTCAAGTATTTTATGATTTTTATTCATTCACTATTAACGACAATTTAGTACATTTTTCGTAAATATAATTAAACGCCCCTCGGTTAAATATTAAAGTACCTCGTTAATAGTCACCCATATATTATCTTGTCGTCTGGTTAAAATATATTTAAAAAAAACCGGGCAACTTGTGCACGAAGGGTCTCGTATTATTAATTATAAAAAACGTTTGTTGTTTCCAAAAGAGTTGTGCGAAATTTTCGACTTAAATTCTTTTGACCGACTATTACTCGTAAACTTGTAAAGCTAACTTGTCCTATGAAATTCGTTAATATAAATATTACTGTGTTTCTAACAACAACCATTGACGAAAGACAATTGATCTAAACGAAAATTGATACTTTAAAACTAAATAAGTCACGAACGGTTAACTAAATCGAAAAACGGTCGTGCCACATCCCTATTATCTTTGAAAGACCTATCCAACGATACTTCACACTATAAGGAAAGCTCTCAAAAAGTAAAATATTCTCCCTTTTAGGCAACATTTTTTATTGCCGCATCACTCCTATAAGTCATAGCGTGATGTTATACAGCCTATACCTTGCTCGATAAGTGGACTTTCAACACAAAAAAACAATTCGTACCAGTTCCTGAGATTATCGAATTCAAACAAACTCTTCAGCTTTATTATTGGTATAAAATAGATTTATATATTTAAAAGAACAAAATGCCTCAAATCGAAAGTCATTAAGAGGTTTGATATTGTTATATTGTTTTTTTAGGTTTAATTAAAATTTTGAGGAAGCTTTTTATTAATTATTGTACTAGCACTATTGGATCTAGTCTATATGATCCGGGCAAAAACCCATGCCACTGATAAAAGGCACTGAATGCAACTTTCATTGAGCCAAAGCAATATGTGGCCGAGTTAGTCAGATTTTAATGCAGGTATGCAATTTAATATGAAACTTACCGATACAGTAGCGGGGTCCGTCGCCGAAGGGCATGTACACACCAGGTGGAGGTTGCGGTGCGCCATCAGACCATCGTTCTGGGTCGAAGGAGTCCGCCTTTTCGAAGTACTGTATTACATACAAAACTTCAAAAAATGATAAATAATACTTAACTCAAAAGCAGCTTATTCAAGAAACTGCTACTATAGTCTGGCGAAGGTTTTCTGTAGGTTATTAATTTAATGATAGGTGCCCGACTTTGATACCATTTTCTTGAATAAGTTGCTTTTGAGACAATTATATTTTTTGAAAAAGTATTTTTTCATGTTTTTAGTGATATCGATATTTTTTTAATACTAGGTAACAGTAAAAGTATGAATATATATACAACGTGTCCCAAAATTCAACGATAAGCGGGCGCCAAGAGGTAGACCTGCTCATGTGTGCTTATGGAAAAATAAGAGAAAAATTATATCTTATTAATCTTTTTTATTATAAAATAAAATTCGAAGATATAATTTTTCTCTTATTTTTCCATAAGCACATGAGCAGGTCTACCTCTTGGCGCCCGCTTATCGTTGAATTTTGGGACACGTTGTATATAGGTAGAAATAAAAGTAGTCAACATAGTGAAAGTCTTAGATAATGAGATTGACATAATTTTTTTCCAATAATCTATATCATATTATAGAGGAAAGATTTAATTGCTTGTTTGCTTGCACTGGATAGGCTCCGAAACTAATGGACTGATTTTTAAGTCTTACATTTACATGAAGGTAGATAATATGCAGTAGCTCGGTGGCGTAGTGGATAAGCGCCGCGGCCCGCGACCGTAGTCGTTAAGCAACTTTCGCAAGGGTCGGTCACGGGATGGGTGACCAAAAAATTATTATCTCTAGCTACTCCGTGCTTCGGAAGGCACGTTAAGCCGTTGGTCCCGGCTGCATTTGCAGTCATCAATACCCTCCAATCCGCATTAGGTCAGCGATGGAGGGTCATGGCCCATCCTCCTTAACCATCCATAAGGAAGACCTGAGCCCCTGCAGTGGGGACGTAAAAGGGCTGGTGATGAATATGCAAGAGGCGATGTCGCGGGGAAACAACTAGTTTGTTAAAAATTTAGACATAACTACTTTAAAAAAATATACATACTCTTTGAACATAGAAAATCCTCTTTTCGGATTTCGAATGAATTCAAAATACACAGACTGACAGATCTGATGAAAAGCGTATTTTGTTTTATTATAAAAGGAAAACTACTGGTTCGATTTCGTATTTAAACGGAACCACATCGGTCCATCAAGCTGTGGAGTTAAAAAAGAATTTTAAAAAATCGGTCAATAATTGGTGAACATACATAAAAAACATACAATGCCGTCGGTTATATAACCTCCTCCTTTTCAATTTTGTATATGACTGTCCAAAAAACTTTTGAAAGACTTAACGCCATTTTTTTAAATGTTCAAAATGGCGGACATGTTTCGCCATTAAAAATAATCTAGTTATAGTAACATGGGCATCAAATTGAAGGTCTAACATAATTTAAATATCCAAAAATATACGACTTACATGCGTAATAAGCTGCTCATTAAAATAAATAATCTAAATATTATTTTTTAATTATACGAAAATTTAAAATCAAACAGAAGAATCACTACCTATCATTTTATAAGCCGTATTTTATACGGTTTAACGGTAAAAAAAATGATGATTATATGATTTATGAACAGTTGGATATACTCAAACGGTGAAATAGCCGCATAATTTCATTGATACGATCTTTACGTAAATTTTGATATTTTAAAGTTTATATTATTGCGCCCAGACATAAGATGGAGGCAAAAATATTTTTTTGTTTATTAGTGCTGCATAATTACTTCAGGTATAAAGTGACTCACATATTTATTAATGTTCCCTATAAAACAAGGGTTTAATTTTCTAATTTAAATACAGCTTATTTTAACATATTTTTTTCTAGAAAACCAGATAAAAGTTAGTAATTATGTGTTAACTTAAGTGAAATCAATTACAGATAGACAATCTTACAAGATAGCTTTGACTTTAAAATGGCATGCAAATATACGCATGAAAATTTTAGATATTGATATAAAATAACTTAAAAAGAAGATATTTTTTTTAACAAATAAGGGGGAGTAGTGTCAAATTCAAAATTATTGTTCTCAAAAAGGTTTTAAATTATTGTTCTACATTTTGTATAGCGATTTATGAAATTATGTAGCGTTTAAAGTACAATGCCAATTAACTTTGCATTCACAATGCTACACTGAAAAATATTCTTAATGAAATATGTTAATGCTTAAAAAATCAAGTCCGAGGTCCCATCACAAAACGGATTTTTTTGCAATTTTCAATAATAATATTAATACCAATTAACGTTACCGTCACAAATTGCTGTATTGTGGAGTTTCTCAATACCAAATGTCAAATTGAAAGGGATTGCAATAGATTAAAAAAAAAATGAATTGAAACCCTTGAACTCGCCTGTTCATCTCTCTGTATGCCGAGTGTTGGGAACAAAACGATGGTGCCCTCCTCTACTGTGATATTTGTCTCTGGAATGACGTAATCTTTGGTGCATATGCGCTGAATGCTTGGGAACGGCGGATAGAGACGAAGTGTTTCTGTAATGCAAAATGTATTAGATAGATAGATAGACAATTTATTACTCACAAACAATTATTAAGGACAAAGACGGATTTATCGCTAAAACTCTTCCAGAGAATTTTTGAGTCGTTGGACATTTAGAGAGACGGACCGGAGGATAAATAAAATAGTAAGATAAAGGTAAAATATATAGCTCGAGTAGCTCGGTGGCGTAGTGAATATGCGCCGCGGCCCGCGATCGTAGTCGTTAAGCAACTTTCGCAAGGGTCGGTCACGGGATGGGTGACCAAAAAATTATTATCTCGAGATACTCCGTGCTTCGGAAGGCACGTTAAGCCGTTGGTCCCGGCTGCATTTGCAGTCGTTAATATCCTCCAATCCGCATTGGGCCAGCGTGGAGGATTATGGCCCATCCTCCTTAACCATCCATAAGGAAGGCCTGAGCCCCTGCAGTGGGGACGTAAAAAGGCTGGTGATGATGATGATGAAAATATATAAATATGTATATTTAATACAAAATACTTACATTCTAAAAGTTCACAGTCTTAGAACCAATCAAAAAAACAATGTACAAACAATATTCAATAGCTAATATATTTTATTACTTTAGTCTCATTCTAGAAAGGGAGCCTGTACATTCTCTTTTTTTACATAATTTGAAATGCGATTCACTCCATTTCCTCTAATTAAAATCGCTTACAAAACGCTAACAAAATAAAAATTATTTTATTATTGAATATATTCTTCAAAGTGAACGGATAGTTACGTAAATCTAAACTGAATGTAGCATCATAATAACGTCAAGTAATATTTAGCTGACACACGGCATGGTTCAGAATGTAATCAGCCGCTAATTGATGTTACGGCTCGCACATTATTCCGCTCCCGTCTGCATGCCAAAGATTAATGAATCTGCGGAATTTATACCTAATCATCCTTGTACATCTTACTTACCCACCTACTCTATGAAATTGTAAATTTAATTTTAGAACGACGCCTATTTACTAACTATGTAATGTAACAAGCTTCCTACGCGCGAACTTTGTAAAGCATAAAAATAAACCCCTATAACTCAAGACAGGATAAAAGAATTTATGCTTCACGACGAAATTAAAATAAAATCTTTTACGCGTTATTTCTAAACGCTTACGCTGATCTGACTGCTTATCTCGGCTATCTATATTCAATTCAGCTGATCTAAGCTATTTTTGAATATCACACTATCCTTGGATGTAGCTTCATGTACGAGTTCCTCTTATATTAGACATCCTATTATCTTTTTTTATGACTTTATTTCAATCCGTTAACGCGATGTCAACTCTAATAGCCAAAATTATATGAAATGTTACTATTATGGAAATCAATGCAGAAATTTATTATATCTGGCATTTCTTCATATCAAGGTCTGATATATAAAATATCCGAAAATATACGCGTGATTTGACCCTTTTATGTAGTTAGCGCTGTGGTGGGCGTTGAGTAAAGGAATTTTTACAAATACCGGACATCAGAAGACCAAGACCTTATTATCTCAATGTCCTTGCTTTGGAAGGGCGTTAAAGCCAAACTTACACACAAACCTACATGGTGAACAAGGAAGACCTGTACCCGTATCCCAAGCAGTAGCGAAATTAATACGCCAGTGGTGAGATATCTTCGGGAGCTGATAATGAAGATTACAGATATCTTCATTTTTTATCTAATCAAAAAGATAATATTGAAAGCTCAGACCTTGTATTACCATTTCCATGTAACGCAGCTCCTGCAGGGTATCGTAAGTGATCTTTCCTCCGTTTTTAGTGGCAACCTCGCGGATTTCTTCCCTCAATGCGCGTTGCATGTCTGGTCGAGCTGCCAACTCCAAGAACATGAAAGCCAGAGTGGAGGATGTTGTTTCAAACCCTCCTAAGAAGATTATGAACGCGTTAGCCGCGATCACCATGTCAGCTGCCGAACAAAATATTTATTGTTATAGAAATAGGGATGATGACTAATTTTTGTTTGTTTGTCCGTCAGGTAGAGTGTTAAAAAATATTTAACACGTATTTTTTTATTTTTTTCGTAATCATAAAATTACGGCGTTACATTGAGATGAAATTTCGCATAACTTCACGTTAGAGTACGTATTCTACTCAACTGTGACGTAGCGAGCCCCCATTCCTCAACTTTAAAACCTGGTATCTATACTATTTCTTGTTAAATTGAAATAAAAAAAATACGTATCTAATATTTTTCTATTATCTGACTGACGGACTAAATAGAATTGCATTTTTTTTACCTAGTCATCATGTTAAATGGTAAACTGTAGAAGGAATGCTTTCAAATGTGTTTATATTTCAATATTATGGAGCGTTATTCCAGGGCTGACCAACCTCATCGTAACGCTCACAACTAAACAATCATGAATATTCACAACAATTTACGAGGCGACGGGTGGTAGTGCCATATCTTACTTTTTTAATATATAGTATTTTGGTTTAGAAATACAGGCTATCTTATTCAATAAAACAGAATTTCACTCTTGATAAAAGGTCCTGGGTAGCTCAGTGGTTAGAGTAGTCGCTCGGATTGCAAAAGGACATGGGTTCAAGTCCCATCTCAGAGTGCCAGGGACAAAGAGGATTTTTTAAGTTTTATTAATTAAGAATATTTTCCAGTCTAGCATTGTGAATGCAAAATTGATAAAATATAATAATAAATTGTATTGATTGACAAAAAAAAAAAAAACAAAAAATGGAGATCATGTTAAAAAAAATCTGTTACATTTTTTTTCGTACCAACAGTATAAAGGCCACTTCGTCGATTTATACTCATTTGTAAGGAGATATAATATGACGAAACTTAAAATGAGTTCTGCAACTTTTCGGTCTCAATTTTATTCTGAAGTCAGCTAATATGTAGGTAAGTGTCATAATTCGCATCGCTTCGGGGCTTGTTAAGTTATAGGGCCATTTCGGGTAATGCTTCGCGACAGTGCTCTTTGCGGGAATTATGTTATACATATTATAATAGCATTCGCACGGGATAACGTAAAACTCGTTTTTTTATGTTCAAACATTATTATGATGCGTGATTTATTGATATTACAACACAATCTTTGTTAAGATATTTTTAAGGATTTATAAGACAGGGAAAACACGAAAAATCAATATTCAACCAATAAGGTTTTAAAAGCATTTTAAAATAGATCATATAGAAAAATATTTAAAGATGTCGCGTATTTTTATAAACTTATTAAAATTACTTTTAACTGCCCAACATTTTTATACCTACCACCCATTCAAGACTTCTTTTGACTAATAAAAAGAACGAAAAGCTTAATAATGTCATCAGCTCTATGTCGTTTTAAAAGCGTATTTTATTATAACTGCAAATTTTATAATTATATCCCAGAAAATTGAAATTCTCATCTGAAGAAAAACGTGTACAATCTATCTACAGCTACTACCTCTACGTTCTCAACAGGCACTATTTTGAAACTGAACTATAGAAGACAATCTAAAATAATACAATAAGTACTTTGCATCTTATAATGAAACGAAAACTAACTTTAGTACCAGGTATAAACCATTACACGACCGACATAAGTCAACACGTCCCAATTTGTTTCTATTCTGTCACCGTTCATTTGTTTTAGGTGGTTAATGGCTTGAAACATGTACAAGACGGTATATGTTTAGAAGTCTTCCAAATTTTTTCGCTTAAAGTGCCCAAAAACTGAAACGGGTTCGGCTCGTCAGCTATCTTTACAAGCGGGTCAAAGATAATAAATATAAAATATATATTAATAAAAACTATTCTCACTAATCTGTACATCATCCTCTACCGCGTTCGTGTCGTCATTACGTAATGCCATCATCATGTCAATAAAATCACCACGTTTCTCTTGCCTTCCTGGAAAAAATACACAAATATTGTAAACGCATACGGATGTTTTCTCGCAACTTCACTTGCATATGGCGTATAATGTAGCTTCCCATAGTTTAAAGAATTTTTAAAATCAGACCAATAGTTTCATATAGTTTCCGAGCCAATTCAATGCAAACAAATAATCAAATCTTTGCTCTTTACTATGTTAGCTGTTAGTTTAGACCTTACGGCTTTTTAAAATAACTTTAAAACGCAAGTCTTGCGTTAAATATATTTTTAGGATCCTATGCCTACAACTTCATTTAAGGTCTAAAAAAATCACTTGAGTCTATCATTTTGTTCTAAAATTTACTCCAAAACTACTATATTATTCAGCTGAAAGTTGGTACATAGACTACTTAAGTTGTAGACCCAAAGACGATCGTCTAACATAAACAAATAAATTTTCATTTGGCGTCCTCTTTTGAGGGGTAAAAGCATTTTACCAATTCTCCGAATGACTGCAGACAACTAATAGATTTACCTACCTTTTTCTCTTTCTCTGAGCACAGTGGTGACGATGTTATAAAAGAAATCGTGACTCCTCTTCGGAATTATCCTCATGCGGAAGAATAACACAAAAGCTGGCCAGAAGTTACGCATGGTTCTATAAATAATTTTAAACGTAATCATTTTACTTTCAATGTAGAAAATTTTACCATCAGTATCCAAAGACTTCTATGACATAGCAGTCTTGGTCAATATCAAATAGGCAATAACGTAACTGTAACATCTGATGTTCAGCTGGTGTAGAATTCATCATATAAGGTCCAAAAACTCTGAGATAGTTATTCAACGGTAATTTTAGTTAAATAATTTTAAAAAGCATACTATTTGCTAGAACGAGAAGGATATAACGTATTGTCTATCGCCTCGAGCATTCCGCGGTGTACTATCTCACACCCACTATCTTTCTAGCTCTATCAAATGGCGTCTCTGAGCGACAGAAAATGACAGGGCGATGGAAAAAGACGATACCATCCTGCCGTATGTAGCACAAGTTTATTTAACACATCGAATACTCACTTTTCGAATATGTTGTACAAAGACATTTCATAGAAGGCATGCAGCGCCTCGGCAAAGGGATCGTGTTCATCGTCCATCACGTTGCTCTTCAAACCGAACGCGCATGGAACTATCGCGTCGGCAGTGAAACCCCCCACTAACTTCTCCCCGTTTGCCAATGTACTATAATCAGCCTTATCTCCAAGGGAGTTAGAATTGTTATTCAATTCATTCGTGAGCTTCATATCGCCAGTTTTATTATTGTTTAAATTAACAATATTTTCATTTAAACAGCGATTTTTGATGCGCGTCAAAAATTCTTTAGCCGTGTTGTCGATCAGTGGAAACATTCCTCTTAGTTTGTTTGGCCTAAAATAAAGAAAAAATGTTTAGGGTAATATTTTCAATAACTATCATTACTATCCTAGTCCCACTACTGGGGTACAGATTATACCTCGAAATGGAATCGAATCAAAAATTAAGAATAATAATAATTTTAAGGCTCTCTTGGACCAGCTTTTGTAAAACTTGCTTAACTTGCGCGCTAAACATCGTGCTATCGAGGTCCTTTTATTTAGACAGTTATATCTTATCAAAAATAATCTTTTGTGAAGGACTATAGTTTTAGCTAGTAATTATTTTCCAATTATGATTATTAATGTTATTCACTGTTTGTTCCTCTCAACGAAATCATTAATGTATTGTTGATATTTCCCAAACTTTGATGTCTCAAACAACAATGGAAAATATATCGATAGCTAAATGATGGATAAATTTTATCAGTTAACGCGAGTACAATGGTCATTCCGTTATCTGTTCTGGTTACAAAAGACAGGGAGAAAAAAACAGCCCTTGCTGAGTTTCTTGCCGGTTCTTCTCAGTACAAGGTCTCCGCCGTAGTTTTGCGAACCGATGACGTAGTTTTCGACTTTCACAAGTGCTCTGTAAAAGCCTAAACTGAATAAATAAATTTTGATTTGATTTGATTTGATTTGGTTATAATGCTGGTTCAATCCTCTCAGATAATCAGTCCTCATTCTACTGTCATCACTCCACAAAGTTAACATTCAAGATCTGTATATTCACACCGGATGCCTTGCAGGGTAGGCAGAGAAGATCGAACACCACAAGGCACGGTCCTTACATACATCTTTCACCTCCTCAACATTCATTCATTACTTTTTTCGTACATGCTCGTTGAATTTTATGATTTCTGACAACACCTTTCAATAGCATGCAATTGTGAAAGGTGTGTTTGGTCTTCAACTTTTTCTACATTCCTTCACTTTCGAGTCGTATATGAGTTTTGTCACTTTTTTGTCCGGTATCGACTCTCGCTGCGAAATCTAGCGTTGAGATCAGCACCGCATTATATATAGCGAGCTACGCTTTCTGGTCGAAGTTAAGATCATTATAAAAATAAACTTACGAAAAAATTGGTGATATCTTAGCCCTTAGTTTTTTCCAATGTGAGCCCCTTAAATACAGCACTGATCCAGCCAACGGATCCACGTCCTCCCTGAAGAAGAACCCACGGTCCGTGAAGTGCTGGAAATCATTGACGCACATACGCTTGATCAAGGCGGGGTCGCGGACTACAAGCGTTCGCTGGTAAAACTGATGGGTGCCTGGAAAATAATTAAATACAACTTCTTTGTAATTAATTTTTATTGTATATGGTAAACTGACCTAAAAGCCTATTCAGTTAGTCCACTAACTAAAATTCGGAAAACTTCGTATATATGTATATTATAATTTTGTTAAAATGGAACAGATATGTTATTTTGTGTTGATATCCGTCGTAAGGGTAGTAATTGACGACTTAACACTTTTATTGACAATGTGACCCACAAAGGTTGGAGCTACATCCGGCAAGATGGTATCGCAGTTTCACGTCGGCTTATCCTTTTCTGACGCTAAGAACTGCCATTTACTAAAGCGAGAAAGATAACACGTTTCTAATATCATAGTTTAGTCTTTGGGATAAAATGACCGATGGCACTTTACAGCAATATAACTATAGCTAACTTGTAACAACTTGTAACATTTAAACTTTAGATATATAAAACTTTCAAGATTCTATTTTGCAATTTATATTCCGTGTCGATAAAAAGTAAATACTATTATATCACAAGAATTTAAGGTTACTATATCTTATATTATAAAGAGGTAAAGTTTCCAACTTTTTTCTGTTGGTAAGGGGTAATCTGCTGAATTTTTTTTTTTTAAACATCACAAAAACCCGCGTTTAAATTTGTTTCTCGTGGGCTATAATATACGCGAGTGAAGCCGCGGGAAAATAATTGGTTAGTAATATCTTTAATCTCATCTCGGGCAGCTGGGATTAAAAGTAGGCAAAGATACGAGTATACGCAAATACTACTCGCGCTGCCCCTCGCAGTTTGCTGCTCCAAGCCGCAAGAGTCAATGTACAAAATAAACTTTTCTATATTGTCTCGGGTCTGGTAGTTGTGTTATTAATTTCGTTGAATGCAATATTATAAAAAATGATGACTAAATATAGTTTCTTTTACGTCAGGTATATTATTGAAAAATATTGATCACGTACTTTATGATTTGCGTAATCAATAAATTGCGGCGATATATTGAGTTGAAATGTATATTACGTAGTGAACCTCACTCCTCAACTTTAATGCCTATTATCTAAGTAATTTCTTGTTAACTTGAAGCAAAAAAAAACTTTTTCATTAACTAACTGACGGAAAAGGTAGCCGACCGTATTCTAAAGAGTAGTATCATGTATGCGTACTCTTTAATCATTTCTCATGGTGTATTTATTATACTATAGTACAGTCACGAATATAGGAATGACGCATAGCTATTATTGTAACTAAACTTCTAATGTTGAATAAATGCGATTCTGTTTTATAAGTCCGTACTCTTTATTTACCTCCTTTGAAATCCTATCCTATTCTATTTCTAAATATATATAACTCAAAGGCGACTGACTGACATAGTGATCTATCAACGCACAGCCCAAACCAGTGGACGGATCGGGCTAAAATTTGGTATGCAGATAGATGTTATGACGCGGGCATCCGCTAAGAAAGGATTTTGATTAATTCTACCCCAAGGGGATAAAATAGAGGACAAAAGTTTGTATGAAACTTTGTCAATGTTAAACCGGTCGGGCTGAGACTTTGCATGGATAAAAGTACTATGACATAGGCATCCCCTAAGACAGGATATAAATTCAATTCCCATGGGGATAAAATAAGGGATGATAGAGGATGTAAATGTATTAGTTTGAACCTATCAGTACCTGATGGAACGAAGTTAGAAATGCTGCTCAAAGTAACTTTACCACGCAGACGAAGTCGCGGGCAAAAGCTAGTCTTCTAATAAAAGTCGTCAATCGTACTGACGGATTAAATAGATTTTTTATACAGGCATCATCCTCATTATCAATATTTTGAGACAAATGGCCTGTTGACCTTCTCGCTGGCTGAAGGTGAGCACATCGGTTGATTGAACTCGATTTCCACTTTCATCAGAGAAATAAAGAGGTAGTTTAAACTCTTTCTAACGTTATCGTTTATAACAATAAACTCCCAATAAAAAGAAAAGTAAACCCAACTTGTTTGATATACAACCTACATATTGATACACAGCCATTCTCTATTATGAAAAAATGTGTTCATATGTAAAGTAAATATTTTCTTCGACAGTAAAAATTTTCTACTCGGTGAAGAGTATCTTCCTGGCATCATGTCTCCTCATCATCAATGGACAATGTTCGCGTCGTATCTTACGAAGACGATCGTTTAAAAAGTAAACTTTTCTACGGCTATAGCCTTACCTTAAGATTATATTTCAGTACTCTGTTCACTGAAACTCGCGAAATTTTAGAACGAGTTTTTTCCGAGTGCGTCATTGATTTTAGCGAAGTCGCTCTCGGATAATTTTGATGTTTGCAGGCGTCTCACAGAACGTGACCGACCACTTTTTTGGCGATCTTGCAGAGAACTTATCTCTTTATACCGCTTTATTGTGTAATAGACGAAGTACAGGAAAACTTTTCAGCTCGCGGAAAATCTGTATCAGTTTTTTCCCGCCTTAAAAAGCGAAATGACAGTTGCACGTAAATGTTTCGTTCCCTCCATCACGAGAAAATATAAACAAAAGAATTGCGATACAAATAAACTAAAAGTTAACATTCCAAATTTCGGACGTTGTTCGTGAATTTTTCTATGAACAAAATTCTTATTATTCGTATTTTCTCTCTTTAAAGAAGACCTATATTCCATAACTAAATTCTTAATATTATTACCATTATTCTCCTTTGACGACTTATGAGAAATATTACTATTAGAACTACCTTTATTTGCATTGACTACACGTGATTTATGCAAATATTTAGCATTTTTTTTTATAAGAATATAAATAATTATTAGAGACATAGACAAAATTATTATTTTTTTGTCAACTCAGACGTTGTCAAAAATTTACATACAATGTGTTTGACAAATAATTGATGTCTACTAAAATCTATGACAACATTATGAGAGAATAGAAAATCTTGTCCTATTATCATGTGTCGATTAATATTTTTAACAACATAAAAATCATGAATGAACTAGACATGTTCAATAATAATCTTCAAACTGACTTTACCGATTACTTCAAGATTCACATTGTTTACTGCCCGAAGTTACATATCACATGGCACAATATCGTGACAAAGTATATACGCGGCACGATCCGAAATGATCGAAAATGACGCACCAGTATCAACGAGCGATATAAATTCTCTATCACGACACGACACTTTAATAAATGGTTGAAACTCACGTGCGTATAATATATTCAGAAAAAAAAGATCGAAAAAGTAATAATTTAAAATATTAACGGCCAGCATTGACCATAAACCGTCCGAAGAGTAAAGCTGCCTATAGTAATGTGCTCGGCCGTTACAGTACTATGAAAAAATACTGAGAATAAATTAATATAATGTATCTCGTGTGTTCATAACTCTTGAGACAAACTTTTTACTGAAAAAATTAAATTAAATGTTACTGGCTGTTTATACTGCTATTTATTGTTCTTATCGATTTTGAATTTGATAATTAATGTTTAGAAAAACATTAATTATCTATAATAGTAATTTTAATCGAAATATGAAATCATCACATAATACTAAAGATAGAAGAGTCAATTTTTATTTGAGGAGCAATAGACAAAATGTATTTTAATCGTATTCTTTTCAGAAAAGTTTTCGTAATAGAAACGATAGGATACATTTCTTAAATTGTCCTAAGAAAAAGACGAACCTCAGTAAAGTTAGATTAAATAGGTTGAATGAGGACAAACGTAAGGATAGATAGTTACCATATCAAATAATACAACCGATTAATAATAATAATAATATTATAATAAGAAGGTTAGGAAATTATAGGATAAAAGTAGTTCATGCTAATAGAATTAAACCCTTTAGAATTCGAGGAAATTGGTATTAGGTTAATATATTTTCATTATTATAATAATAATTCTTATTTATTATTATAAGTTAGGTGATTGATATTTCAAAGAAATATGAATTTTTAAGTTTTCTAAGTTATATAATGATAATGTTGAAGTTGTAATTTTAATTTATTTTATTATTTTCTTTTATTAAAAGTATTTTCTTTTATTTAGGAACTATAACAGGTTCGATTCCATGTTCAAGTTAAATGTGTTAGTGAGTTAATTTCGAATAGTAATATTGTGTGTATGTGTTTAACATATATTGTCATGTGAAATATTTGTGTTTAATTATTGTTTATTTATTGTAAAATTTCCAAGGATGTTTGTTAATATTGTTTAATTGTTTCATGTTCATACTTCATCTGCCGGATTCCGGTAAGAGCATGATGAAGCTGGCGCGTATCCTGACGTCAGCAATACAGAGGGCCTACTATGGAGCATCTCTGTTGATAAGTCGACAGACTCCCACTTCATGTGCGCGTCGTCATTATTATTGTATCGCGCGTAGTGTTTATACATGGGCATTGCGAGGGTCGGGGAACCCATCTAGTTCCGTAGGAATTGGGTTTCGTCTTGTTTGATGCTGGACGTCCTTAGGCTCCATATGTCAATTTGTTGTCTCATGGGTGTCAATGATTTATCATGTATGCTTATAATATATACACATTGTCATTGGCCATATCCGTTTATGTTTATTATTTTAGGTTGGATATTAACTATAATTGATTTGATTTTAACTACGGGAATCGGGAATATCATATAATAGCTATGTTTAAAATAAAGTTTGTTGTTTGGGTTTTGACGTCATCCAATATCATCTTAGGGTTTTGATGATTGTAGATATTTGGGAGACGTACAGGTGCTTTTATTGAGATTTTGCACTTGTAAGAGTTTCTGCAATGTGAAGAATTCCTTAAGAAGTCTGAACAATAAAGTAGTAAATTGGAATTTCATTGCAGGAGCTGGTTTATTAGTAAAAACCGCCTCCTCTAAGTTCCTCAAGCAGGTAGGACTTAGGGTTTTGGGTTTAGGTTTAGACTTCTGTAAAAATATTCGAGCGTCTTCACACGCTCTTATAATTTTTTTAGACAGCCCGGGCATGTAACGTCCGAGCACATTACTATAGGCAGGTTTACTCTTCGGACGATTTATGGTCAATGCTGGCCGTTAATATTTTAAATTATTACTTTTTCGTATTCGAATTCGCGTGTTCTTGTTTTGGTTGTCGATCTTTTTTTTCTGATCGAGACCAGCATAGAGTGAGTATCATAGTTTTTGGTTGTAAGTGTGCTAATGTAATACTAATTGAAAATAAATCAAGACTGAGGAGTTCTACCAGTTTTTTCATTGCGCCACCCACCTCCACCATTAGACTAAGTTGCTAGACTACCTAGATACTGCCTTTTTGGTCTGTTTTTTTGTCTGAAAACTCACTACAATCTTTGACATTTGCACATATTTCATTTGTTTATTTTATCATCATCATTTCAGGGCAAAGATGAATCGTTTCTATACTAATTTTTCATATAAAAAAAATCTAATAGTAATAATGCAGTAATAGGAAAATTTAAAGTATAAGAGAAAAACGAATATGTATACACGTATTCATAAAATGAAGAATTATTTTGTTAGATTTTGACGCTGAAAATATATTTTTGCGTACTATATATTTCTTTCAACATTATATAGTACAGTTGGCAACCGTACGTAGGTGAAAGAACTTTAAAATTGGTTCTGTAGTTTCGGAGCCTATTCGTTGCAAACGAATAACTGTAAGTTTCCTCTTTATAATATCAAGGTTATTTGTACTCATACAGTTCCTTCAATTAATTTTTAGAGTATAAAACTAATAACTCAAACTTACCTAGAAATCTTAAATCCTTGTAAGTATCATAAATCCTCTTAAAACATAAGCCTCCTTGTTCTCTGAACGTTATCACTGTCTTAATGTGTCCCACAAATAGGCTCGCTGGTGGAGAGAAGATCCCTCTGCTGGTCCAATATCCATGGTCGTAGGTCCCCAACCCGTAAACCACAGTAACAATCAATGGTACTGCGAATATGTACCATAAAACCGCACTGCCAAAAGTGTAGTGTTGCAGAGCAAAGGCCAGGTACACAACTAGCAAAGACGCGCTCCGATTGAATCCAAACATTTTGAGACTTTTACCATATTATCTGGATCTGAAGCAAACGTTAACTTTTTAATGAACATACAACTATGGAATTACTCGGTTACCGAGATTTCAACTCTATACTCTTTATGCACAAACGTACAAAGGCGGACTTAATTCCTGAGGTTTTCTCAACCAGTACCACCTAAGAGTGATGTGGAGCAATATAAGTGGTAATAGGCATAATCACAAATAGTATAATAACTTATTAACACTAACTTAAATATACTGTTTAACACACAATACATTTCACATTTTGACAATACGACAAATGTTAAGGTATGTAAATTTTAATATATTGCCATATAAAAAGTTTTGACATAGCAAAGCAAGAACCTATAATGATTTTAGAAGAAAGATGAATGCTATATTGAAGCAAGCATTTGCATCCATTTCAATTCCAGAAAACACCTTTTGAGATGAAGGATTCAGGTTGAACTTTGTAAATTTGTGTTAGCTCGAGACTTTAGGCTGCGAAATTTTGGACACAGCGATTGTATCTCAACCTTATTAGTTTTTAAGTTAACTGGAACTCAATTGTAAATTTAACACAAAAAGCAGACCACTAAAAATACACTTTTTACACTCACACAGAAAATATCTCACTTACACAGGGTCGCACTTAAACATAAAAAAAAATGTGAAATGATTTGAATTTGGAACGAGCGTCACATTGTAAATGTAACTGCGATTGACTCGTGCGCCTAAAAGAGTCCAAATGCGATGAACGAAGCACAACGCATGATGCTGTAAGAGAGAAAGTTATAAAACAGGGCCGCAGTCACCTACTCATCATATACGGGTTCGACATCCATACGAAATGGAGAGTATTTTTACATGTATTTATTTAACACAAATACTATTCTACTCTCGACTTTATTTATCTACAAACAAATAACAGGATACATAAGTAGCATCTTAAAACACATGGAGATTAACGTTCACATTGATTACAGGCCTCAGACATTAAGATGGGTAAGAACATTTGTACGTATAAAATAAATAAATAAAAGTGCGAAGAATTACTGATACTCAATTATCAGTTAATGTAACCTACATAATAATTCATTTGTTAATACCTACCTAATACTCGTTTTAATTACCCATTCACACTAGATTTTTTTTTATATTTCATACTTTGTAAGAGCAATAACAATATCATGTAAATTACATATATCTTTTTACAAATCATAGTTATCTTCTTAATAAATTAAAAAAAGAAATTTAATAGTGGAATATGATCGCATAGCGTTATGTAGGTAATGTTACTGATACCATTGAGTATGTTTAGACCTATTTCGGAGTTAAAAGTTTCAACTGATCCCTGATCTGGAAAACAATGGAAGAAAAAGTAAAAAATGCGTGGGACGACTTGAAGAATGCGGTACATAGTTTTTAGAGAATATTTAGGAGTCTGACTGCAAATCATTACACAACGCAATTGTTTATGTAAGTGTTTTAAATAAAAAATGATTCTATTTTTTTAAATTTAGGTTTAGTTTACACTTGTTAGAATGTCTTAAATAATTTCTACATAAATATCTCTTTACTCTATCAGCCAGTTGCAAAAATTGACATTAGTTAAAAGCGACATTACCCATACAAATTTGACATTTATTAATACTTAAAAGTGTTATTAGACGTTACTTGACGTTTGTGCAACTGACCGTGTGTAATTTATTCAGAATTTGACAAACATCAGCTATTACTTTATCTTTTGGCATTTATGAAATTATTATTCATGTCGAATGCTGAAAACGTGCTAGCTAGCAAAATATATCACGAGCACTTTCGCAAGCAGTTATAAGGATCCCTGCAGCAGATGGTAATGATTGAGTGGCTATTTTATCTACCTAGGTTCATAATACGTCCCTAAATTTTTTCTCGTCGATATTACTTATGATTCATTCTGTCGTTGAATGTTGCTATGTTAAGTTACATAACAGTGGAATATCCCAAAAGTTAAATTTGAATTTAGAACATTCTCCAATAGGATATTTAATAATAATAAAAATACGTAAGTAGGGACTGACAATTATTTTTTAAAGTAGTTTTTTTTTGTAGATAACCTTTGTGATATTTGAAAAGATATTTATATAAGATACATACATTGATTAATCTTAGAATTCTGTAAGCAGTTAAAATAAAAGAAATGTACTTATTGTCTATACTAATATTAATAGGTTGGAGGAAAAGTTTCAGAATCAATGGTCCCGTCTTTACCCATGGTGCAGGGGGTGTAACGCACCCGGGTGGCGCACGTTGGGAGGCGCCACACCGATGATCTTCGGGAAATTATCTGTAATGGGGAGGGGGGAGACGCCAGAGCACTGTTTTCACACCCGGGCACCTATTATGCTTAAGACGGGCCTGGTTACAAGTTAACCAGGGTTTCGCCATAGTCTATGAAGCTAGACCGACCTTTGACCACGGCCTTATTCGTACGTTCGTAAATATTCTCCTTTTATCACCAGTTATGAGCTTCTTCATAAAATTTTCAACTTTTTTGTGTACTTTTTTCAAATGCATCAAAACTGTTCTGCGGTCATTCCCCAGTTCTTCAGCTACGTCGTAACTACTGATATGCCGATCTTGCTCCACTTTTTCAATAATGGCATCCATTTTATCCGTAATCAGGCGACCGCAGCTACGTGTAAATTTGACATCAAAATTTCCAGACTGAAAACGCTTAAACAAATTTGTGCTACTCTCACAGAAACTGCACTAGGTCCATTAAGGTCACATTTTTTTGGCAGCTTACATTGCTTCTTTATCTTTTTTATCAATGAGAATAAAATTTTAAAATGTATCGAATTTCTTCATATAATTCACTCATTCTGACAATAAGAAAAACAAATAAAAATTACACATTTACCTAATTTCAATTCGGGGTTATTTTCTTAACAATTTAAACTTTTTAATAATACCAAATACAGCCAGATTCAAATGGTATATCCAGAAAGATTTTATAACAAGTTTATGCATACTATATGCGAAAAGAGTTTTTTCCCAACCTAATATAAAGAGGAAGGATTTGATTACTTGTGTGTTTTACTGTGATTTAAAAAATTCTTTTCATCAACGGGAAGCTACATCATACTCTGGTGACTAAGCTATAATTTACTCCGGCAAAGTTGCGTGAAAACAGCTCATATTATATATAATTTACAGGAGTATTAATATTTCTAGCATTACATAAGTAAAAGTAAACCTTACAGTAAACCCAAATTAATTTAATATTTTTTTTAGTTTAGAGAGTGATATAACATCCGCATTGGGTCCGCGTAGTGACTCATCGCCCGTTCTCCCTATTTTGATTCGATTTCATCCAAAGGTAAATGTGCTCCAACAGTGGGGACTTTTTATGCTGACGATGAAGATAACAGAATTAAATAACTTTCAATAACGACAGAAACTCCGAAACGGTAAACTCGAGAGATGTGCTAATTAGTTAAATCCCAACGCTGTTCAGTCAGTCTTCTGAATTTGAAATCTTTTCCCAATTTCAAAACTCGAACCAGAATTGCATCACGTCTCTTATACATAGTGTAATCATAGAAAATTATGAGCTTCGATTTGACGCGATACACATCTCGTTTTTCGAATGGCGTATTCTATCATTTTAAGACGCTGCACAGACGTACCAATGTGGTTAATATTCTGAACCTACGTGTACGCGGAGCCTTAAACTGTGATCTCGGCATGTAATCACTTTTACAAACGACGCTCGTATTCATATGACGGAGTATAGACGATTATGTCATCATGGCGTTTCTAAGCGAATACATTCCGCTTTCCAGAAATGGCTTCATTCAATTTAATAGAGATATCTTTAACCGAGTAGAACGTTGGTAATAAGTCTTGCTCAGTCATAAACTTTATTGATACTAATAAGCTCTCACTGTGATAAACTTTTCGAAATGCCTAAGATTTTTTTATTCTGTGTATTTTGTGACGTAACCTTGACGTTTTACTGCATCCATGGTCGAATAGCTCTCTCCACATCAAGTCGTTCGGTCTCGGATTCAAGGTCCGAATTCCTTCTTATTATAACCCCGAGTTTGGGTGTTGCGGACACAAAAGGCTTGAACGACGTACTTCGAGATCTAAGCAATATTGTGATGTCATCTATTTATTTTAATTATGGTGTTGTGTGTTAGAACGCTTTGGCTTGGCTTAATTCAAAGTATTAAAATTTAACACGGAATCGGTTCAAATCTTTAAATAATCATTATGGTAATTTTAGGATTAAAATTACTAGCTTTTTCCTGCAACTTCCATATTACTACGCTCTTTGAAGTCTAACCTTCTGCGCAGGTACACCAATGACTCAAATTAATAGTTCTGTATACAGCACGAACGAACTTTCGTTTGGCAAATTCGATAATAAACAATTACGCCATTATTTTTGTTTCGTTCGGATGCGACAACAACGCGGTAATTGACCCAGTGACCTACTCCGGCAAACATATTGCTAGACAATTGTATGGTCATCACTAGTCAAGGAACAAAGTTTTTAATATAACTCTAGCTGTAATCCGCGGCTTCGCCTATGTGATCCAAGGATACTGCGTGAACTCTGGCCTGCTATGCTGGAGTTAATTCCATTGTGTTTTTTTTTCGGGATAAATTGGTCATACGCTGCCGCGGACACAACGGAAGCTTTAAAAAAGTAAATTTTTCTCCCGTTTTTTTTCAACATTTTTCGTTGCTACTTTACTCCCATAAGTATAGCGTGATGTTAGTATATATAACCTAGCCTTTCTCGATAAAAAATAAATAATTCGTTTCGTTCTAGTTGCTGAGATTATAGGGTTCAAACAAACAAACTCTTCAGCTTTATTATTAGTAATGATTTTTTCATTAGTGTGAATTAAATATATAATATATATAACAACAAATCAATAACTATATAAGACATCCACACTCTTACAATAAAATACAGAACACGCAATATTCGCTTTTTATTATACAGATATCAAAACTGCACTGCACTATTACTGCATTTTGTTCGAATTATTATAAAATACACCAGATGCCATTTTTTGTTGAATATTGTAAATCACGCTAATATCTTTAGAAATTTCAAAAATGAGGTACCCTTTGCCTGTTTTTTGATTTGCTTTATGAAACTAACTGACCTCTTTTCTGTGTTCTGTGAACTAATTCCATATATTTTAGTAAAACTCTTATTATTTTAAGTTGTGAATACCTATTAACAATTAAGGCTTCATAAGTTAAAAAATTGCAATAAATTGTGAGGCAGCCCTACTTCAAAACCTATCTGTAGTTATTGAGAAATCAGGTATTATATGTAATTTACAAACCAAGATTCACGATTTCTACCAATTTGCTATGCTGCGACGGACTAAGGGGGCATCAGCATGGCTGACTTCACCATTAAGATCACTCATAACGTTAAAAAGGATAACACACTTAATAACTATCAATTTTATAACCTCAAAAATCAACTTAATAATTAAAAATAATAATTCGGTACTCACACACTCCCGGAAATATTTTATTTGATATGTGAATTAAAACATTTGAATTGTTTTTTTTTTAAATAAACAATTGTTGTAAAAATTCATTATTAAATAAATCACATTTGAAAACATTATTGCAAATTTTATTTCTACCGAAATCAAACTTACTAATAATATCAGGAAGTCTGATACTAGATGTATGACCATGGCCTTAGTACTTCTAACTTGTTTTAATCTACATTTTAAAAATAAGGATAATAATTTAAAATGATTTTAACGTATTAAAATTATATGGAATATACATCGAACACAGCACAGAAAACAAACTTTGAAGTTATATTAATAATTACTCTTAAAATAAACTTAGAATCAGTTAGAATATTATTTTAAAATAGTCTTTGACATATTGTTATTTATCGTGACTCTGATCACGCGCCGACATATAAAAATTGAAATATGATGATAATTATTACTATTTATGGAAGTATTTTGATAATCCTTCTTTCATTTGCACTACAGCATTAGGTTTTTTAATTATTTATCTTATTTGTTTCACTAGATTGTTCTTGTTCCTCATTTACGTCCAATGATGAATCTCTTCAGTCAGAAAGAATACTGCTCTGCGTGTAAAATGAATATATGTATTAAATAAAAAGTATTTTGTAGCTTAACATTTATTGAATTTAGAAATAACTGTTTATTGTATATTGCTTTATTTCATTGTCGGTAGTAGTCTCCGTTTAAACTTTAATCGACGAACCGAACGTCGCTTACTACTCCATCGTCTACTTCTTCAACTCCGTCATCGTCACCGTCACCATTTTCTTCACTGCTGTCATCGCCGTCGCTACTGTCGTCATCATCGTCGAGATCGATGCCGGTCACATCCTCAATCCATTCGCGTGCTACCGCTGGGTTGACGAACACTAGATGGAAATATAAAGTTAATTAGGTATAACTCTGATAGAATTTACACTTCAACTTTAAATTTTACACTGCTTTAAAAACATTCAACCGTCTAATATACTCGAGACGGGATATGAGACAATATAATTTTTTCTAAATATATTTTAGCGGTATTTTTCTATGCTATAAGTATGCTTGCTACAAATAAAGTTTATTGGATTTACCGCCTTTGTTGTTTTTATAAATTTTAGTGAACTTTTTTTATGGCTATCTTACTTATGGACTATTCGAAATCCCAATTTGAAAAAATATAAAATTGACATTTGTATTCATCTCATGATTTTAATTATATTAATAACGCAAAGTGATTTTTGTCTTTTTATGAATATTTTTCATATGTAAATATAAATGCGGTTCTCCGCCACTGTGTGGCAGTACTGAATTAAATAAATAAGACATGATCGGACTTCCCATCCGACCTTTCGAAGTCTGTATCCGAATATATCCGAATACGGTATGTATATGGATATACAAACCTTAATGCTATTTCTTAAACAGTAAAAAAATGTTGATAGGTACTATATATACTAACCGTTCCTGTCTCCTGCCTCAACCAGGACACCATATTGGACACCGTCTACCACCAGAGCTCCTCCAAGATCGAACTGGTATACAAATATAATGGTTTCACATAAGTATATATATACATTACGAAACAGCGCGACATGGCTCAGTTACACTGTGGAGATTACTGTGACTTGCGGTCATAGGTCGGTCATTGTTTTATTGACCAATGATGGGCCTCAGAAGTCACGCACGCTGACGCCAATGACCAGTGTTACTGAGCCATTACGTTCATACTAAAGGTCAAACAATCTTATACCATTAGAACTCTGTAGTATTCATTTTCTTTGCAGCTACGTATGTTCTACCGATTACCTACATTAACGGAAGAATGGAATTTAGTGGATTGTAATTTTGTGCGTGTATATTAAATAAAATATATAGAAATCCTATCAACTGTAGACACAATTAGACTTATTAGACAATTGTCTTTAGGATCTTTACGCATGCTTTGAATTTCTTTTCAATCAGCCCAGCAGTTTAACAGTAAAAGTGTAACAGACAGACATTTTATTTTATTAATTTATCGTTAAAAACTTAGATACCTACATATTGTTTCACAAAGTGATATTACTTTAACCACTTGGATTTGTGTGTAACACTCGTAACAGTTGCTAGTTCACCGATATAGATATAGGTAATGTATGCATGATGTAGGCAGTCTTGTACGCTTACCCTGGTTAGTTCATCGCTCTGCCCGACGAGGGTGCCGTCCTCCTGGACTTCTACGTTCACGTTGAAGCAAGCCAAATTCTCACCAGGCCCTGCGTTTTGTTGAATTTCATCAATAACAACATCGAATAAGTTACATTTCACAACTATGCCACCTGCCTTGCTATTTTGTTAAAAACAGCGTAGAATTCGACGTCGAATGCAACATTGAAGGAATAAAACCTACTTCAATATATATAAAGTTTTTATTTGAATGAACCTATATGCTCGATGCTGGTTTCGACGCTCAATTTTTACAAAATAGCAAAGCTGCATTCGTTTTAAACGATTTTCTTAGAAAAGCAAAGAAGGCTTTGTCCACTCACTAAAATCAGAAAATTTCGAATCGATCTTATGTTTTTATTAAAACATCACATCCTTGAAAATTATTATCTTTGCATCAGAGACAGGGTCAAGTCCTGCCTACGTTGTAACATGGGTTTCTTTGAAATCGCATTAGGGCTTCGTAAATAAACGGAATTTCATTTTCGGAGAAAAAGAATCCTATGCGGTTCGAATACGTTTATAACTTAAATAATTATTTATTAGAAATTACGATAATAATAAAGTAAGAGACAGTGCGATAAAACTTATAAAATAAAGTCCATTTTTCCCACTCACCGCCACTCTCAGAAGCACCGAAGCCGCAGAACTTGCCTGACGCAGGTACAGCAGCACCGCTGCCAGCGATACCCACGGCCGAAATTACGTCTAGATAAATCAACATCAAATATAAACACTACTATTATAATAATAAACAATATTTTTATCGGTTTTTTAACCTAAAATTATTTACCAATATAACAAAATAATTGGATTTTATTGAAACTGGTTCTTTTTTTATATAGTAGTGCCAATACAATTGCTTTCAATTTGCCTTTTCCTAAAACTTTACTATAGTGTCGTAAAAAAATCTCAAGAGATTTTATTTATTAATATCCTTTCTGTGTGATTCAGAAGAACCCTAATAAAACATACTTTATGCAAATATTACCCGTCACATATGGCCGTCCTTATCTAAGCTATTCTCTTACGTCTAACTGCTACAACTTTACGGTTTGATGATATAAAATAGACTATAAAATTGTAAAATAGTGTAAAGCTGATCGTTCACTGTGAATTGTACGGATTGGCCGATTTAATACGTCCACTGCATCCGCATTTTTATAGAACCATTTTATACAATTCTGTGATGTATGTAATAAACTAGCTAATGCTCTATGCAAGTAATGCGTATGACGTCATCGGCACCCATTGTATTCTCTTTTGTCGTATAAGGCGTATAAATAGTAGACTATACAAAATCCAAAGCTATAGAAAATTCGCTGCGAATTTTTTAAATGTAGTTTTATTTAATGAGTAGTATCCATGAAATAAGAAACAAAGATTTATTACAGTGCGATAGAGTATGTGTTTTAATGTGCTTATGTATTTGTAAAATATTATATTAATTTGTAATTATATTAATTATTTAAGAAGTATCATATCAGAAATTAAAAGTCCGATCCCCGGCCTGGGTCAGGCTGAATGTTTCAAATTTCCAGCGCTTAAGCAAATTAATTTTAATTTATCTAATTCTTCCAGACAACCTAAAGTTCTGAAATACGGTTTAATCAAAGTTTTTTTTTAATAAAATAGGCAATTTTATTACCTCTAAGGACTAGGTGCCGAGACTAAATATACACAATTAGACAACACACAATTGTCACACCCATATTAGATGAAATCTGATTACGCTGTTACACGGTTAATTCAACGCGTGCTGCACAATGGCTTTTAATTTCCCTGGAGTGCAAACTAAATTGAAGAAAGGCGCATTTTCATTGGTCGAAAAGGCCCGTATGCCGTTCCAGGATTTTTGTAAAGGACGCCATAGTTCCCGCATTCAAAGATACTTTTACTTTTTACCAGTCGATACTGCCCGTATTCGGGTTGCGGGTGATTTTAGTAACACAAACAATAGGACTGTAGGATTTCAGGCGATATATTACGACCGAGCTATTTACAGTTGAAGTCATTATACCACCTAAATCCCGCCCAGAATGAATGTTACGGATGTGGATGCTGAACATAGCAACCGATTCTCAAAATATTGATATTTTTTTCTTTTATTCTTGAACCTATACGGAGTTAAAAAAATGTCTTAAGATCCAAATTTTCCTCTGCATCTGCCTTTATAAATTTTATAATTCGACATCCGCATAAACATCAACGTAAGCATCCGCAACATCCCTAATCGACCAATGTGGATGAGCCCTTAGTGTAATGACACAGCTTACTGTCATACAGCCGACCACGTTAACTTTTGTCACAGGATTAAAATTAGACATGATTCTAGACTAGCAATTCCCAACCAGTGGGTCCCGTCCTACTAAAGTGAGGCAAGACGCTTGATGTCTATTGAAAATTCTAGACAAATCTATTTCAACTGTTAACAATACCCGTTATTTATTATATCATCGTTTGCGACCGAAATTTAACCAGAATCCGCTAACTCATGGCTATCAAAAATATTTTTACAATTATTTGTTAGTCGCACACTGAATATTCCGTCAAGTTGCTGATATTGGTTAGTTTCCTAACGATCAAATTTGATAGCTCGATAATCGACCTCCATCAATGTCGACACCAGAAAAACAGATTATTTTAGCGTCAAAAATAAATTATATGACTTTGTATTATTTGAAATAACACTTTTAAAAGAATCGAAAAGAAGTAGACTTGGTGTACAATTGAGCTCCATAAAGCAATTGTATAAGCATATTCAATCTGCGATTGCAGTGTTAAAGCACCTTTCACTAAGGCCGTTCGTTGGATGGGCAACCAAAACAGTATTATCTCGAGTTCTTGTATGCTTCAGTAGGTAAGTTAAATATCAATAGGACCAGTAATAAACTCAATGTAGACATCTATAAACCCAATGGGGCCATTAATAAGTCCAATAGGGCCAGTCATAAACTCAATGGGGTCATTTATAAACCCATCGGGGCCATTAATTAAACTGATGATGATGAAATATCAACCTGGCATTTGAGAAAACATACCTGTGAATTCTACGTTACGGTTGATGTTGATTAGGGCCAGACCGAGCTCGTTATTCATTTGGACAGCGTTGGTCTCCGTCACCAGCGACGGCCTGATGACTTCCACCACACCATACCGGACCCAGATAAAAGTACGCCTGAAGTAATAATAAACAATAGGTATATATTTGACAAATTTACCATTAAAAATGCATGCAACATAATTAACTTATAGAAAAAAATATTTAAAATTAACCTCGTTTACTCTGAGTAGATCAGTTGCTCGGTTATTGAAAGCTTATGGGTTCGAATCCCATGTTGGGCACCTTAGCTTGTTCAAATAATTTACAAAACGAAAAATATTGCAAGTTCTCAATACAAACTAAAGTTTAGTCCAGCTCGAAGGACCAATGTCCTGCTTATTTTACTCATGTCCTATCTCTCATCACGTCGCTCTCTATCATGACACACTTTGTCGCATAGTGGCAACATACCGGTGTGTGCAAGGTGTCACTATTTCTGATGTCTCAGTTCTACTCCTGGTCGGATCATTTCAAAAATTAATTTTCCTATATCGTCTTAGTTCTGGGTATTTAGATGCCTTACTACCTTGCCTTTACTAGACAAAGGCATTAGCTACTTACATATCTAAGGGGGCGTCCATAAATTACGTGAGGTGTTTTTTCAAATTTTCTGACCCTCCCTCCCCCCCTGGTGAGATGTCGTGAGATTTTATTCAATCCCCTCCCCCATCCCCAAATCTCACGTGAGATTTTTCAAAAAGTGGGTTTCTTATAAACACGTTGGATTTTTTAATAAAAAGAAAAAAAAAATAATTCGCTTCGTACTTTTATTTACGACTAGTTAGAGACTAGTAATCCATATTGCTCTCATTCATCGAGTCACACGTTCAGCTGACAGTGGCGCGAAAACAAAGGACGGGCTACATTGTACCGTAAATTCAAATTAAATTGAGCTATTTGGTATAAAACGAGTATAGTGGTTTGACAATCAGGAGTGATGTATAATGTCAAAGTACGAATGAAATTATTTTCTTTCCAACGAATTAGTGAATGATCTTAACCTTAGACTTGTCACTCTATGAGGGATTCCCCGCACCGAGCCTTATTTTAAAAATTGCGTGATATTTGCCGAAACCCCCCCTCTCTCCAACGTGAGATTAGATGAGATTTGACTCGACTCCCTCCCCCCCTTAAACATCTCACGTAATTTATGGACGCCCCCTAAGCAATATACTATGGTCTCTAATATTCTCCTTTTTTCTCTTCAGTGGGGTTGCCAACCGTACTCCAAAATAGAGTACCTATTGTATTCGATATTATATGAACATACATACTCTAGTATAACGTTAATACAGAACACTTAAATACTCTTTATTATTTTTAGATAGTGCCAGTCACGCATCTAAGATGCATACCTATTATCGTTTCTAAAAAAGCAGCAAACAATCCCAAAAACGCCTTTTTAAAAATGTTAATTAATTGGTACTATTTTTTGTAAGACCGTACATTTTATTTACTTCGTTTGAAAAGAGATATACATAATCTATTTGTTCTAATAAAAGTTGACAACCCTACCCTCAGCTCTCTTTTTGTCATCTCTCGCTCTATTTAAAATAACAATTCTCACCCAGTGATGCAACTGATGGAGGTGAGCACCCAACGCTGTCCGATGAGTGACCCGGCGCACGAGTTAAGGGTCGTCCCTGATGACATGGCCATCCTCAGGTGAACCACCCAGGGGTTCTCACCGAGGGCAGAGGACTCGCGGGCCGCTGGAAACACGCACATCTCACTTTCACGCGTAATCACATCATCACTAGGTTACATACTTTGGTCAGAATTCAAAACCACCCAGTAGACCCAGTACTAAGTAACAAAACGAAGGCAAATGCTTTATATTTTATCGTGAACTAGTGATACAATTTACACATAGTAAAAGTTTCCATTTCATGGTTTGTTACGCGACCGCGGTATTAGTGGTGCTCCAATCACCGGGCTTCCCGGAAGAAGGACGTCCAAATGATGTTTGTATACAGTCTGAATTTAACATTTTTAGGCGCTTTTATCGCTATTGCCTACTTGGTGACGATCGACATAGCATCAAATAGATATTGATATAGTGGCCTTTCGTTCTCTTTGTCCTGGTTTCCTACCTACGGACTTTAAGTATGATAACCCTTGGTAAGTATATGTGAAAATATCCAATTTATACAATAGACAATAGTTAAGGTGGACAGAAAAGTTTTAAAACAGAGACGAGTTGAAACAACCCCGATTTATGGAAATTTAAACACCGTAAGCATTTAGACATTGTGGTAATTCAACTGCTTAAGGTAGCGATGATGCTAAGAGTACTTGAATTTCGAGAATCAGAATAGTTTTAACTCAATACTGTTTAAAGAAACCCTCGGTATTCACTACCAGAGTATAAATATATAAATACTTAGATTGGTTTCTATATACTTACGTTGTACACCGGTGCTGCGAGCCTGGAAAGAAGCATCTAAGGTTAATACGAAACATAATTATAAAACATAATATTTGAGGGGAAACAAAAACAGAATGCATTCTCTGTTTGTTTTTGTCACTTTGATGTTCTACCCATGATGTTTCTACCCATTGATTTGGACAGATTAAAACAATACGTCTGCGATATATCTAATTCACATGTGCCTATTAGGGATTCCTCTAATATCCTGGACATTTCAAAAGCGCTGTTACTTATTAATAGTGGTATTTATAATCACACATTATGACGATCACGGCAAAGTAGTTTAACCGCAAGTGGAAGTGATTACAATAGATACTTAACTTATTATTATACTAGCTGTTTTTCTGAGACTTCACAAGCTTAAATTATAGTAAATGTCATTCGGGCATAATGTATTTTCCTGAAGGTACAAAATCTGACAAACAAAACAACCGCATCGCTGATGTGATTATTGCATTTGTAGGTTTACAATTTAGCTGGACAACTATCTTTGATGTATATTTAATAATACGAACTTCATGAGAGGCTTCATGTAACTGCAATGAAAATGCTGCGTTGGTCGGGGGATGAGGTCAGAAATAACTTTATTAGGGGTACGTTCAAAGTTGCCAATATAGAGGCTAAAATGCAAGATAATCGCTTGCGCTGGTATGGGCTTGTTATGAGATAGTGGCGAAAAATTATTAGGAAGGCCGACCCCAAGCGAAAGGGTCCAAACTGCACGGAAGAAAAAGTACGAAGCAAAAGCACATCTGCATTAGCGGTCGAGAGGTAAAAAAATATCCGATAGCTCCTCCTGAGCTATAATAAATAAATATTAGACAGATTATCATTTAGTATCTTAGACAACGAAGGAATCACAAAAGTTTATTTTCTACGTTGAGCCGTCAGGGAATCGAACCCTGAACCGGAGCTTCTAGGCCACGGAAATAGTAACACTCAATTTACGGTCACAAATCTGCGGACCATGATTATAAAAGTTGCTTGAATCCCGCAATCTTAAAACGAACATATAGACTTGAGAATATTTTTGTAAAATAAGAATTTAATAGTAGAATTATTAGGTATCAAAAGTTATTACTTCATTTAAATCCTCGTCCAATAAACGAGAATAGAATATTAGAAGAGAAAAATATTTGCTTAAGCTATGGCATTCTCTTAACTAAATACTTCTCTCAACTATAGACCTACGAGTACGAGACACCAAGCTTCTTATTAATTAAGTAGATAAGTACTTATTTTTTTCTCTTAATTAAATAGTTTTGATAGTTATGCCCTTTTGGAAAAACACTAATTAGGCATTAATCGAAGGAATCGCGTTATCTTGACATTAACTGGTATTAACACGATGTATTAATATTACAGATTAGATATACTTATAATATGTAGATTGTCGTCAGTGCGGATTAAATTATCACTTATATCAAAATAATTTTCAAATAAAAATATTACATTATGAATGAAATATAGTCACATTTTAAAATTATTAAAATTCCCGCTCCCTGGGATACTTAGACAGACTCGCATACAGAATTACATTAGCATTTGTAATCTATACTAACATTATAATGCTGAAGATTTTGTTTGTTTGTTTGTTAGAACGCGCTAATCTCAGGAACTACTGGTTCGAATTGAAAAATTATTTTTGTGTTGAATAAACCATTTATCGAGGAAGGCTTTAGGCTATATAACATCACGCTGCAACTATTAGGAGCGAAAAATAATGGAAAACGCGGACGAAGTCGTTGGCGGACACTAGTTTAAATATACGAGTAGATTGGTTCTGACTTTTTGTTTCAGTATTCCATTTCTTTATGTCGCTCCACCCACCGATACACTGGGCCCTGGATGTTAGTTAATATGACCCATTCTCCCTATGACACCTCGTCACAATATCTTTACTAATATTATTAAAAGAGGAAAGATTTCAGTGTTTATCATTTTGATTGTTTGTATTAAATAAGCTCAGAAACCAACAACCATCTCGCATTCTACTTTCTGTGTCTATTCAATACATATACCTACTAAACATTAAAAACATCAAAATAATAATAATAAAATCGCATAAAAATAATATAAGCCTTTGCTTCTACGCAGGTTTCGCCATCTCTGAGGTTCCAGATCTATTTCGGGTCGGGTCAATGAAGAAAATTAACTTCTTTATATCGCTACCTCCGGAGAATAATATGATAACTGCAAAAACGTTTTAAAATAATACGCTATTGTCATGTTATTCTAGTAAAATCACACTTAAAATGTTTTACAATAATAAATTATTGTCATGTTATTCTGGTAAAATAACCTGAGAGAGTGTATGTGCTAATAGTCGATTAGAATGTTATTCAGGGTAATTTTCAAAAAAGATCCAGTTCTAATAATAATCTTTTGATGAATAAAAACAAAAACTTCAAAATTTTTTTTTTTTAATTATCAAACTTAAAACAAAAACTTCTAAATTAAAAAGAAAATTATCAAAATATGATTTATTAATTATAATTGGATCAATCATCATGGGACTCATCATGAGAATCAAACTATGGGACTTTTATAACTAGGGTAATTCGTCCTTCTCTTCTGATGATAATACTTCTTGATCTGTCGATATCAAATACGTATAGAATGAATGATAGTGCCGAGGTATAGCCTCACATGAACACAAACTCTTTAAATCGTTGTATAAAGCTTTAGTAACTGGAATCAGTTTACTGTAAGCACATTTTAAGTCTTCAACATTATAAATTGCAGTTGCTACAATTTAGGATGTTGAAGACTTAAAATGTGCTGCTGTAGTTTTTCGACCACGGCCGACTCGTCCTATAACTCTTGATGAAACTTCTGTGTTTAAAATAGAATAATCATTATCAAAATCATACTTATAGCGTAAAATCTTTGGTTCGTTGCTTAACAGCTAACTTCCATCACTTTAGACCATAAAATTTTATTGCCTTGTACGTTTTCCCGCGACAAGAACTTTAATGTCATAGAAATTGGACTGTTCCATTTCATTAAATATAAATTTATTGCCGGTAGCCTTTGCATTTTGAATTAAAGCATACATTTGGTCTGGGGTGTATATCTTTTTATTTTTGATTTCTCTTTCTATGGAAGAGTGCATACTGTCAGCCTCGTTTTTCCCGTGTCCAGTTTCAAAGAATCGATGTGTGATATTTAATTTAAAGAGCAAATATGAATTTATTCTTATTTTGGCCTGCACAATCATCAGAAGAAAAGGAAATATGTTCAATGCCACGTTCATATTCAGTGTTCAAAAACTGCCACAAGCAACTGCCAATTTCAATTGCTCCTCTTTTTGCTAGTTGATAGTGCCACACGTAACAGAATGTCGGAGCACTGAGTTATAGACAGTAAAATTGTAAATTGGATATTTTCTTTTGTAGTGGAATATTTCTACTTGAGATTGTGGTATACTCAACACCTTCTCCAAATCGAAAATTGCAACTGTACTTTTATTATGATCAAGGTTCTTCTTTTCTTCCTCTTTCAGTTTATGAGCTCTTTCTTTGTTTTTTCATATATTTATCATAATCTTCTTGCAACAATTGTTTCTTGTCATCATCACCTTGTTTATATAATTCACACTTATCGCATAAATCTTTTTTGAGCACAAAATACGAGTAATTGTACTGAGTATTAAACACAGTTTGGTCTTAGTCTTAGTGTTCCCATCTCTATGTCTTCATCGTAATTTTGATTCTTGAACCAATCTTTATTAAAACGATACATTTTTGAAATATTTAAGTATGATGAAAGGAACAGTTTTTGGGATTTTTCTCTGACATAATGTGATTCCATTGTGGGGAATAGTTCAATATGTTTCTTTATACTGTCTTCAGTATACGTGGTCATGCGCCGCAGTCTATTTTTATGACGTCCTCTTTGGTCATGAAAACTATCTGCAGATTGATCTTTTTCTAAAGCAGTATATATAGTTTGATACAATGTATTTTTGAAAAAAGTCTATATACTTGTAATTTTGTGTTATTTATGGGTAAATAGTATTTTACGCTTTGAATTATATTATTCTTGCGGTCTAATGTCATAACTTTTCAAACCACCCTCGTCGAAAGTCATGAAAGTCAACAAAGTAGTACCTATTGGGTTAAAGTTGACCTTTAACTTTATTTACATATTGTATTCAATTCATAAATTACGTTACTTTTCGGCCAGTTAAGTCTAAGAAAAGGGATTCAAAGTATGAGGGGACCTTCACACTGTTAAGCCGGCCCTGATGCAATAAAAACATGCAATAGTGAATCTTTGTTACTTTCAATTTTAATTTACATTGAAACGTGAAAGAGAATCTCATAATTTGTAACCATAACCGGAGATTATACCTAATTTTATTTTTAAATTAACGAACTAACGTACAGTAAGTGTGTACTAATATGATGCATGGTAATACTTCGTTTACGCAGAGTAGTTTTATAATCAGTCTAATAAGACTAACCTTTTAAATATAAAAGGCAAAATTTTAAAGACATTGGAGTTATGTACTAAAGTACTTTAGTCTACTCTGCGCAAATGAAGATTCACCTGGCGCTATACGAGTTAGAACTTATTTTAGACATCTGCTTAGAGTAATCTTTGGCTTGCTAACTTTTTTTTTTGTTTGAATCAAAAAGATTGTTTTCTTACCTGAGCGGCTACTAAAGCGCACAACAAAACCAAGAACCCCTTCATGTTTCAACACCAAATGACTACCTAATTAATGAAATTCAATAACTTATTTATAATCAAATATAATTTAAATCGTTATCGTTTTAACGCGACTCATTTAATCATAATCTCCTGATAACACCAAGATTAATTAGTTGTTTTAGATTTTTAATGCTATAAGTATTAGGTATTTACATGTCCCTGGGAAAATTTGAAGTGATCACGTAATCTTAAATGGAAAATTCGAAGAAGAAAAATTTATAACTGTTTTTAGTTTGTTTATTTTATTGAAAAAAAATATGCCACGGCCGATGACATGAGAAAGAAAGAATGTTGAATAACGTTTACTTTATAATAAGTTAGTTAATAAATAAAAATATAATAGATAAAAAAGTTTAAAAAAAAACTTTTATTTGTGCGCACTAAATCGTAAATAATAGTTTTATGAGAGATACGCGCTAATGAAAGCGGAGAAGAGGGAATACACATTTTTTTACCCGCTACAAGCTTTTAATGTCAATTACTGTTAGAGAAAATTTTGATTATAAGTACTTTAACATTAACGGTATGAAGTTATCTTGCATCAAATTATTATTAACATACTAGTGCGAACATATAAAAGCTTATTTTTAAAAAACTTTTTTTTATGTTATATTTTTGTCTAATTCTATTCAGAGACGAAACACGTTTCAGTTGCGTTATTACATTGCTAAGTTCCTATGACCACCTTCCAGCTCTATCATCATTAAACCTTGGCCTGGAAAGCATCCAGTACGTAAGTTCTCGTTAAGTCGAATCTAACGAGCCAAACACGATGCAGTTGCGTTAGTTCATCACCAAGTTCCTATAACCATCTCCCGACTTCATCATCATATCAGCTTACTGACACCATAATGTTGTATTGTCATCTGACATGGGGAAGTCGATCAAATTTAAGTTCCAAGATTTACTCACTAACTTATATACTAAAAAGCTCAGTTAAATAAAAGCTTATAAAAACATATATTATTGCGGCTTCAATTGGTCGTCTAAGTTTTATTTTTATTTCAAGACATTAAACCTTTTTTGTTTCTATTCTATTTGTTATTCGCTTTTTTTTTAAATGTCCTTGTATTCTCTATGACTGCGATAAATTGGTGGCGGTCTTTTTGATTTTCGTGAACTTTTTTGTAAATTTTTCTTGTTAATATTGCACATATCTCTGTTTTTTGTATATATTCTGTTAGTCTAAGGTAGTATTTGTTTATATAGTTCAATTGTATAGGAGTATATTGGTAAGTTTTTATTTTTCTTTTCTGATGGTGAAAAATGGCCAAAAAACGGAAAAAAGCTTTATCTGATTCTTTAAGTCAGACGAACACTATTGTAGAGTCTGAGTCAAGTGACTCTGAATATTCCGACAGATTAGAAGAAAATGAGGACAAGTACTCGCCTTATAGAGTTACGGATTACTGCCGTAGGTATCCCGAAGATAGTGCGGCTGGCTACGAATTTATTGTTTTTGTAGAAAGCGTAAATGAAAACCCTATCGGTACTCGGGATATGATGTATCTTAGCGGATGTTTTACCCGTTTTGTTAAAGGTATTAAGTATTTGAAAAAGGTGAACAAATACAAAGTAGGGGTAATCTTCAATAGCGCCAACCTAGCAAATACGTTCTTAGATAATACGACATTTCAGCGAGAACAAAACATCAAGGCGTCCATCCCTGCAGGAACTACTGAGTTGACAGGAGTTATCAATTCTGTCCCCACAGAAATGTCAAATAAAAAAATATTTAAGGCACTTTCCAGCTCCAAAAAAATAATATGTGTTCGGCGTCTCATGAAAAAAGTAAAAGTAGAAGACAAATTTCAGATAGTTCCTACCCAATCTGTAGCGATTACGTTTTCGGCCTCAGTATCCTTACCAGACTTTGTTTTTATAAAAATGTGGCGACTCCCAGTTTTGCCTTACATTCCCCCGGTAAAGCAATGTTTCAAGTGTCTTAGGTTCGGTCATTTGGCTAAATATTGCCACAATTCACAAAGATGCTCAATTTGTACAGGGTCTCACAATTTTAAAGAATGTAACGTGCCTTTAGAAAAGGCCATCTGTATCCACTGTCAAGGAAACCATTTATCAGTGTCAGGGCAATGCCCTATAAAAAAACAAAAAATTACTGAAAATAAAACAAAAGTGACCACCACTCCTTTTTCAAATTTATTCAATAACAAAGACAAAAACTTCCCATCATTAAATAAGTCTGAAAATAGTCAGGAATTGATCAATTTGATACTTAACAACGAAAAAGCTATAAATGTAATCACTGAATCCTTAATTAAAGTCTTAACATTAAATAAAACAAACAACACTAGTATCAGTTCTCAAATAATTTTAGACACTATTAAAGAAACTTTACAGAATAAAAACAATAAAACATCAACATGTATAAAAACGCAATTAATATAGTACAGTGGAATGCACAAAGTTTATTAAGCAATCGACTTGAATTTCAGAAGTTTCTTTACGATTGTGAGGAAACCTTTGGAATAATTCACATAGCCTTAATTTGTGAAACATGGCTAAAGCCACACCACACTTTCAATATGAATGGATATTCCATTGTGAGAAATGACTGTGGTAATGATCACAATGGAGTAGCCATACTTGTACATAATAGTTTAAACTTCCATAAAATTAATACTTTCTTTGACAACTGCTTACAAAATATAGCAATACAATTAGAAATAAATAAAAAGTTGTTGACTTTAGTGAGTTTTTATATACCAGGCATTTCAAATCCAAGATTTAATAAAAATAAACTCGATCAGTTAATACACAGTCTTCCAAAACCATTCATTGTTGCGGGCGATTTTAATGCCCATCATATTAGTTGGGGTTGTACTAACACCGATATGAGAGGGCGTAGTATTATGGACATTATAGATGATAATAATCTAGTACTTTTAAATGATGGTCAAGCAACTACAACTGGTTCTCATATTTCAAGGCCAAATGGTCTTGACTTAGCCTTTGTTTCCTCATCTATAGCTTTGTCGTGTGAATGGCAAGTATTTTCTGATTCACTTGGTAGTTATCATCTGCCAACTCTTATCAAATGTAAACTTTTTTCTGCTCCACAACCTCCTCCAGTTTCTTCCAACATCCCTCAACATGCAAATCTGAAATTAGTAGATTGGAATGAGTATGAAAAAAAAATTAATTCAAATTTATCTGCTTTTTGTATTGATCCTTTTGATTTATTTACAAGTTATAACACTTTTTGCAGTTTAATAGTTAGGGCCATCAATCAGTCTCAAGTTCTATCTACAACGAAATCTAAAATAGGAAATAATAATAAAAATAATATAGATAGTGGTCGCAATCTCCCACAACGACATAAAAGAATCCCTTTAGTGTGGTGGAATGACAAATGTACAAAAGCTGTGAATGCTTGCAAACAAGCTTTCATTAAGTTCAAATCCAACTCTAGTCTGGAAAATTATATTGCATTCAAACATGCACAGGCATTGAAGAAAAGAACCTTAAAGCAGGAACAAAGGTCTAGTTGGGAGAAATTTTGTCTGTCAATATGTAGACTTACTCCAATGAATCAAATATGGGCTAAGATGAGAAAATTTGGTAGAAAATTTATATCACAAGGTGATGATTGCAATTGGATTCCTTCATTTTTAGGTAAATATACACCTGACACTGTTCAAAATTCACCAAATAATTGGGATAACAATACAAATTTATTTCTAGTTGACCCATTTTCTATTGCTGAACTCAAGGCTGCACTACAATCGAGGAAAAATACATCGACTGGTTTAGATTGGATTTCGTACAAAATGATCAAAATGATTAATGATGATAATCTTCTAGTATTCTTAAATTTGTTAAATGGTCTATGGTCAAAAAATCTAATCCCAGAACAATGGAAAACTGATTGTCTCATCCCAGTACTAAAACCTGGAAAAATCCCAAATGTTGCAGAATCTTATCGTCCCATAACATTAAGTTCTTGTGTTGGTAAATTATTTGAACAACTTTTAAAACAGCGTCTTGAGCATTTTATTGAAAGCAAAAATATACTACCTTACAATCAGTTCGGCTTTAGGCGTGGTCGCTCTGCTAGGGAAAGTCTGTGTCATTTTTCTTTAGACATTCATAAGTCTTTTTGTCAAAATGAGTTCACAGTTGCTGTCTTCTTTGATGTAATAGGCGCCTTTAATGGAATTAATTTGGAAACCCTTTCTAAAATTTTGTATAATTTAAAGCTTCCTGGAAAGTTAGTAAACTGGTTATTTAATTTTTTAAATGGTCGAAAAATATTTGTCAAATATGGTAATCAGTTGTTTGGGTACAGATGCTCCTATAAAGGTGTATCTCAAGGTGGAATATTAAGTCCTCTCCTATTCATTTTGTATATACATCAATTAAATGATATTTTGGGTCCACAAGTTAATAATTTACAATTTGCTGATGATTTGGCAGTATATTGCTCTGGAAATAATTTGTCCTTGATCTTGGAAATAGTTAATGCTGCTCTTCAAAGGTTACAAGCTTACTATGAAAGTCTGGAGTTAGAAATCAGCACAGAGAAGAGCAAAGTTGTTGTCTTTTCAAAAAAGTTATTAAACAATGTAAATATATCCATATATTATAATAAAAATTTATTACCTGTAGTCAACAATATTAGATTTTTAGGAGTTATATATCAAAATAATTTCAAATTCAATGAATATGTCGATTGCTTGATAAACCGTGCAACAAAAGCCTGTAACATATTAAAATCTTTAGCAGGTACATACTGGGGTTCTGACCCCAAGATTTTACTTATATTATATAAGTCATTTGTAAGAAGCCACTTTGAATATGCTTTCTTTTGCTATGCAAGTGAAACAAAACTAGTAGACAAATTAGAAAAAATTCAAAATAGATGCTTACGTATAATTGTTGGAGCAATGTGTTCCACTCCCATAATATCAATGCAGGTGGAATGTAATGTACCACCACTGATGTTAAGATTCAAATATTTGATATCCAGATTTTTCTTGAAAATTTCTTCAATTATTCAACATCCTTTAGTTGGAAAACTTCAGCAGTTTTTGGCAATCAATGCTTCCTCATTAAATTGTTTATTTTTACTTCAACATTTTCCTGAAATA